TGATCTTTGTTTCACTTTCAACTTTTGGTCTACGTGGTTAGTGCATAGACTTAAAACATGTATGTGTGTGCATTTATTATCATTTTGTTCAACATTAACTTTGTTATATGTTGTGCATGATTTCACTTTTTTAGAACTTTTTTATCACGTCTTTGTTTATCCATTTTATAAATTGGGTGCTGGTATGCTTTATAGTTTGCTGGCATTCTGGGATGTATAACTATGAACTTTTTGAGCAATTTTTGGCATTCTGGGAGCGAGTCCTTTATACTTTTTAAGTCACCTACTTGCCTATGCGTTGTATACAATTTTTTATTTTGTTATATTAAGAACCAACAATGTCTACATTTCAGACACTTTTTTCTTTTTCCTTTGATGAGAAGATGTAATCTCCTGAAAAGAAGTTGGAACTTGCTTGTTTTTAGTCGTAACAAGTTATTGGATTTTCCAATTTTTTATTGGTAGAAGTTCTAAAACTTTTGTTTTTGTCTTCTTTTAGCTTGCTTAATTTTTAAGCTCTACCAAGCTCTTTAGAATTTGTAATTAGCGTCAAGATCTCAATATCTATCATCAGTTTTGTTACATGTGTTATAAATTCTCTTAAATTAATTCAAGGATTTATGCATTAAGGTGTTTTCGTTTTTATTTTTGAATCATGATTTACGGAAAAACAAGTCTTTTGGAGAGAGCGAACATGGTTTTAATACATAAATAACATGTTATCTGATCAATTGTAGAAACTACTTCTCTCTGATAATGTGAGTTGGAATTGTAATATAGATTTACATTATTGAATAAGATAGGACCAGCCACCCGTCATTGAAGAAGTTGAAAGAGTTATCATATTCCCTCTCTGATCTTTGTTTCACTTTCAACTTTTGGTCTTTGTGGTTAATGCATAGACTTAAAACATGTATGTGTGTGCATTTATTATCATTTTGTTCCACATTAACTTTGGTATATGTTGTGCATGATTTTACTTTTTTTGAACTTTTTTATCACGTCTTTGTTTATCCATTTTATAAATTGGGTGCTAGTATGCTTTATAGTTTCAGGCATTCTGGGATGTATAACTATGAACTTTTTGAGCAATTTTTGGCATTCTGGGAGCGAGTCCTTTATACTTTTTAAGTCACCTACATGCCTATGCGTTGTATACAATTTTTTATTTTGTTATATTAAGAACCAACAATGTCTACATTTCAGACACTTTTTTGTTTTTCCTTTGATGAGAAGATGTAATCTCCTGAAAAGAAGTTGGAACTTGCTTGTTTTTAGTCGTAACAAGTTATTGGATTTTCAAATTTTTTATTGGTAAAAGTTCTAAAACTTTTGTTTTTGTCTTCTTTTAACTTGCTTAATTTTTAAGCTCTACCAAGCTCTTTAGAATTTGTAATTAGCGTCAGGATCTCAATATCTATCATCATTTTTGTTACATGTGTTGTAAATTCTCTTAAATTAATTCAAGGATTTATGCATTAAGGTGTTTTCGTTTTTATTTTTGAATCATGATTTATGGAAAAACAAGTCTTTTGGAGAGAGCGAACATGGTTTTAATACATAAACAACATATTATCTGATCAATTGTAGAAACTACTTCTCTCTGATAATGTGAGTTGGAATTGTAATATAGATTTACATTATTGAATAGGATAGGACCAGCCACCCGTCATGGAAGAAGTTGAAAGAGTTATCATATAGTTATACCCTCTCTGATCTTTGTTTCACTTTCAACTTTTGGTCTATGTTGTTAATGCATAGACTTAAAACATGTATGTTTGTGCATTTATTATCATATTTGTTCCACATTAACTTTGGTATATGTTGTGCATGATTTTACTTTTTTAAAACTTTTGTATCACGTCTTTGTTTATCCATTTTATAAATTGGGTGCTGGTATGCTTTATAGTTTTCTGGCATTCTGGGATGTATAACTATGAACTTTTGGAGCAATTTTTGGCATTTTGGGAGCGAGTCCTTTATACTTTTTAAGTCACCTACTTGCCTATGCGTTGTATACAATATTTTATTTTGTTATATTAAGAGCCAACAATGTCTACATTTCAGAGACTTTTTTCTTTTTCCTTTGATGAAAAGATGTAGTCTCCTGAAAAGAAGTTGGAACTTGCTTGTTTTTAGCCGTAACAAGTTATTGGATTTTCAAATTTTTTATTGGTAGAAGTTCTAAAACTTTTGTTTTTGTCTTCTTTTAACTTGCTTAATTTTTAAGCTCTACCATGATATTTACTCAAGCTCTTTAGAATTTGTAATTAGCGTCAGGATCTCAATATCTATCATCATTTTTGTTACATGTGTTGTAAATTCTCTTAAATTAATTCAAGGATTTATGCATTAAGGTGTTTTCGTTTTTATTTTTGAATCATGATTTATGGAAAAACAAGTCTTTTGGAGAGAGCGAACATGGTTTTAATACATAAACAACATGTTATCTGATCAATTGTAGAAACTACTTCTCTCTGATAATGTGAGTTGGAATTGTAATATACATTTACATTATTGAATAGGATAGGACCAGCCACCTGTCGTGGAAGAAGTTGAAAGAGTTATGAAATATTCTACAAATGCTTCAAATGATTTTTGTTTATAACTACTGATTTTTTTTCTTTCTGTTTTTTTTTTTTCTTTTTCTTTTTTTTTAGCCAATTACATGGATAAGTCTTGGATTCATCATCACACTAGGGGTAGTCGAAAGTATTTTGATGGCATAAAAAGCTTCATTAAGGTGGCTAGTCGTCATGCAGCGTCAGACCGTAGGTCTCGATGTCCTTGTCGTCGTTGCAAAAACATTATGGGGTATATTCAAATTGAAGAAGTTGTGCAGCATCTTTTAAGTTATGGGATGGACAGGGAGTATACCAATTGGATATATCATGGGGAGGTTCCTCAAAGCAGCAATAATGTTATTAATGATGCTAATGTTAGTGGGGAAGCTATCCAAGATGAAGATGGAAATGTGGATAATGTATTTGAGTTGTTGGATAACGTACAAATGGGAACCTTCGCTAATACACAACAAGAAGATTTTGCCTGAAATTGATGTGGGAGGAGGAAGCTTTGATAAATTGTTGAAAGATGCACAATGTGAATTGTGGCCAGGTTGTTCAAAATTCTCTAAGTTGTCAGCGATATTATAGTTGTTCCATGTGAAGGTTTCAAGCCGAATGAGCAACAAAGCATTTGACATGATGCTTGAGGCATATAAGGAAATGCTCCCTTATGGCAATGTGTTACCAAAATCTCATTACGAGATTAAAAGCTTGTTGCGAGATTTGGGTCTCGAATACGAGTGTATCCATGCATGTAAACATGATTGTGTTATATTTTGGAAGGAGAATACAGATAAAGAAAATTGTCCACAATGTGGTGAGTCGAGGTATAAACCTCACGAAGGTAAGGGTAAGAAAATCCCTCAAAAGGTTCTTCAGTATTTCCCTTTAAAATCAAGACTACAACGGTTATTTATGTCGAAGGATACAGCCTTAGACATGCGGTGGCATAAGGAGAAACGTGTGAAGGAGACAAATGAGTTAAGACATCCAGCTGATTCAAAAGGTTGGGAGGATTTTGATAATAGGCATAGCTGGTTTGCTGCTGATCCTCGTAATGTTTGTGTTGGATTAGCAACTGATGGATTCAATCCATTTGGTAACATGAGCAATGCCTATAGTATGTGGCCTGTGATGATTGTGCCTTACAATTTGCCACCTTGGATATGTATGACTGAACCATATGTGTTTATGTCATTGCTTATTCCTGGTCCAACATCACCTGGTAATAACATTGATGTCTATTTGTGACCTTTGGTTGAAGAGTTAAAAGAATTGTGGAAGGATGGTGTGATGACGTATGATGCTTATAGTAAATGTAACTTTAAAATGCATGCAGCAATGATTTGGACCATTACTGACTTTCCCGCCTATGCGATGGCATCTGGATGGATGACAAAGGGTTATCTAGCATGTCTGAATTGTAATGAACAAACATGCTCTTGTTATTTGAAACACGGACGGAAGATATGTTATTTGGGAAGTCGTATGTTTTTGTCGTTAGATCATGTTTTCAGGAAGCGTTACAAGCAATTTAATGGTGAGAAGCAAGACAAAGGCCCACCAAAGTAGTTGACAGGTGATGATATTCTGGAGCAACTTAAACTCATACCCGAGGTTAGTTTTGGAAAGGGACCAAATAACAAGAAGCGAACTCGTGAGGAATTTGAACTTAACTGGACAAAGAAGAGTATTTTCTTTGAACTACCTTATTGGCAGATCCTTTTGTTACGGCACAACCTGGACGTTATGTATATAGAGAAAAATATATGCGATAATATGTTGGGGACATTATTAGACATCGAAGGAAAAATGAAAGACACGTTCAAAAGTCGGTTGGATTTAGAAGCAATGAAGATTAGAAAAGAACTCCACCTTAGGCGTAATGGTGAAAAATTTGAGATGCCACGAGCACACTACACAATGTCAAAGAATGATAAAAGGCAACTGTGTGAATGGCTAAAATCGATTAAGTTTCCAGATGGCTATGCATCAAACATAAGTCGGTGTGTGAATGTTAATAACTGTAAGATATCTGGATTGAAAAGTCATGATTCACATGTTCTCTTACAGCGTCTCCTCCCCATAGCTATACGAGGATTCTTAGATTCTGATATTTGTAACACAATAGCAGAGCTTGGTTTATTCTTTAAGGAATTGTGTTGTCGAACTCTTAAACTGGATGTCTTAGAGGCAATAGAAAGGGACATTGCTATTGTACTATGCAAGTTAGAGATAATATTTCCTCCGTCATTTTTTGACATTATAGTCCACTTGGCTTTGCATTTGCCGCATGAAGCTATCATCGCAGGCCCCGCACAATATCGGTGGATGTACCCCATTGAAAGCTATTATATTTTTTTAGTACACCAACATTATTTTTATGACAAGTTTTATCGGTCTGTTATATATATAAAATTTTGTAATACTTTTAATGATTATGTAGATTTTTGCGTACTCTCAAATTGTGCGTGCGTAACAAAGCACGTCCTGAAGGGTCCATTACTGAAGCGTACGTGGACAGTGAATGCGTCACATTTTGTTCAAAATTTCTCGAAGGGATTGAGACACGGTTCAATCGAGAAGAAATAAATAGTGAGAGGGACTGCAACAATAATTGGTCCACTATTTCAGATCTAAAGCAAGTGGTTCGACCTCTAGGGGCACAAAATTTGGAGATATTACCCCGTGAGGAGTTGGAGATGGCTCGATTGTACGTGTTACAAAATTCTGGAATAGTTGAGTCATACGAAGAGTAAGTAACTCATTTCATGTTATGACTTTTTAGATTATGTGAATATATGGCGTATTTGTTAATACATGTACACAATTATATCTTAAATCATGTAATTGCTTAGAAAACACAAGGTAGAACTTGAGAGACAAGATCCGTGCAATGTTCCTAAAAGACATGCAAAAGAATTTTCGAGATGGTTTGAAAAACAAGTAAGTCCATCGTGTACATATTGGAATTAATTAAATCATACTCTTTAATTAATTTAAATGATGTCGTTCATTTGCTTAACACTATTTTTTTTTCAATAGATAAAGGAAATGCGTCATCATCATAGGGAAACAACTAGTGATGATTTATATTCTTTAGCATGTGGACCTCTAAGTCGAGTAAGTCGATATTCTGCTTGCATTGTAAATAGGATTAGGTTCCATACTAAGGAAAGGGAGCGAAATCGACGAACACAGAATAGTGGTGTGTTAGTGAAAGGAGAAAGCGAAGATTACTATGGTGTTCTAACATATATCATTGAGTTACGATATCTTTTGGGTAGACAAGTTTTTCTTTTCAAATGTGATTGGTTTGATGTTAGGAGTGGTATACATAAAGATACCTATTTCACGAGCGTAAATGTAGCTAGTAGAGCATACAAAAATGAGCCATTTGTGTTAGCAAATCAAGCAAAACAATATTTCTACGTCAAAGACAACAAATTGCAAGGAACATGGGAGGTAGTTCAAGATATAACAAATAGAAGCTCATTTGATGTACTTGAAGTAGAGGTCGAAGCCGGAGTAGAGGATGAAATGCTCAATGCTCCAGCATACCAAGAGAATGAACCAAGCATCGTTGATAGGGTGGTTGAAGCAGACTTGGACATGGATCCACTCCCATTGAACAGGGGTGATTTGGAAAGTGAAATTCTTGATGCTGAAATGATTCAAAAATGTAGGGGTGAAGCAGCAATTAATGAGGACTTTTGGGTTGTCGTGAATGATGATGGAACTGACATTGACTATAGTTCAGATGAGGAATCAGAATTACTGTCCGAAGATGATACTAATTTGGATGACATGTGAAACTTACGTAATGTTGAGCATGGACTTTATTTCCTTTGTTTTGATCTGGTTCCAGTTTGTAGCTAGTTTGGCTTTTTCTTTTGTGCCTTGAGCTTTTGGTTCCCCTTTCTTTTGATTGTTCACTCCTTTAATAGATATGCAACTTATATAAAGTTTTTGGCTGTAACTAACCATCCTCCAATCATATCTAGCAGAAAATGTTTATATCTTGTTTGCTCCTTTAATAGAATATGATGGCCGGACATATCATGGAATCTGATTCCTTAAAATAGATCTCATTTTTTATGTTGCTATAGTTTCTACCATTTGATTTCTATTAGACTATTTATAGATCACTAAATTTACATTTTCTGTTTATATTCTGAAGCATGGTAGTTTAATAATTATGGACACCTCTGAGGCCCCAATGCGTAGAGTATTAAGGTCCCGAGTGGCTCAAACTGAGCCACCAGATACAAGTTTACCTGCTAGCTTGCCTCAAACTGAGGCACCATCTATAAGTTTACCTGCTGCATAACAGAATGGAGAAGGTGGTGGTAGCAATTCAACAAATCAGCAGCTTAGTATTGAAGGTGACGGTAGTAATTCACAGACGAGGCCACAACCAAGTGGAGGTGATAATTATGCTTTATCATTGATTAACCATAAGCTCTTTTGTAAAATTACTATGTTTTAATTAAGATGACAAATTTATTTTTCAGGCCCAAAGCGAAAAGGCCATGGAAAAGCGAAGAATGTCGCCCTACAAAAAGCTAAGGCACTCTATGGAAAAGATGTTCCAATTCCAGTAGAGTTTGGGACGAGGTATATTAAACCCGTAGGAAAAAATAGCAAATTATGGATGGCAGAAGTTGGCATCCACACGAGAGATAAAGAAGCACTACTAAATTTCAAAACGTGGAGGGATATTCCAGAATCTGAGAGACAGGTCTGCTATGACCATTTTAAGGTAATGAGTTCTTTTCTTTTCACCTAAGAAACTACTTTTTTTTCTTCATATTTTCAGTGTCTCATAATCTTAAATAAAATGCATCTATAACTGAAAAACTGAAGGAGTTAAGAGGCGTAGAGATCTTGGAGTTTGCAATTTATATTTGTGCTTTCCTCTGCTCTTCTGTTGAATTTCAAGCAGTGACTTTGGCATACGTGACTTGGCTCTGGTGGTCTGATCGCTGTGAGGAGTATGGAGATTTAGTTTTATCAAAACAAAAGAATTTCAGAAGATTTTAATGTAATAATTTTTTATATGCTACAATATATATGCTGCCTAAATTTTGCTGTGTTTGTGCTTTCTCTTTCGATACTATTGTTGATTAGGTGAGCTCATAATTAAGCTAAATCTTATTTGAATTTGATTTTAATTTACAATTAACTTGGTGATAGAGAGACAAGTTCAGAAGATTGATATTTATATGCTTGTAACAAACTAGTTTTTATTTCTTTGTTGTCCATATACTTCCATTGTGTATATGAATTGACTTCTAAACTGACAATTAAAATGGTCTAACCCACTGTAGTGTTGATTTCACTACAGAGTGTAGACAAATAAACCATGACTGGCACTAAAAGGTCCCATGTTACCAAACCAACACATGCTATGTTATACATGAATCCCTACCCAATAAATGCTAGAATTAAAAGTTGTCTCCAGCCTTGTTTATATATAACCACTTCCATTTGCTTTGGCATTTTTCTTTCTGTTGCTCTACTTTGATTGCTATTTCTTTCTGTAGATTCATATTCATTTGCTTATTTAGCATTAAGTTCACTAGCTAGTGACAATATTTGCTTATTAATTTTTCCTATAATTTCTCCTATAACCAACGTTTTACAGCAAATATATAGTTATTAGTAAGCTTAAAGATTTTCAACATATTGTCGCTTATTTAGTATTAAGTTCTTTACAAAATCAGGAACCTATTCCTCCTCCTACCTGCTGCAACATCAATCTAAGTGCAACCATCACAGGATAAAAAAGGTGTCCTAGATCGGAAAGAGACAATCTAACTGCATCTACAGCTTCAAAGCATGCTTCCATTGCTGCATCTTGGTTGTCTGTACCCATTGATGGGTATCTTCCCTCTGTTTCTTAGCCTTTCTTTGTTATATGAAAAGCTAAAAAAAAAAGGGTGTACGAATAAGATTAAAAGGAACTGGCAAGTTGCTGTCATGATATCTAACAATTGAATGTCTCCAAATGGAAGGTAAAGAATATAGGTCAGTATTTGGGAGTATGCTGTGATAACTCTCAAAATCGAGTCTTTCTAGTACGCTTGAGATACACATCGCAATTCACCATAGTTTGCGAATTGGTAAGTGAGATTGGTGAGAAAAGCTTGGAACATCTCTCCTAAATACAAATTAAGACACAAGTATAAAACATTTAATGGGTTGGTGCAATTAAGAGATACCACAAACAAATTTGCAAAATTGCAGTATAATTAGTGAGTTTGAATCTCTCTCAAAAAAAAAATTTAATTAAACAAATGACTATAAACGGATTCTTAAAGGTATGCCTTCTTGCAGAACATCCACTAGTTTAAGGAGGAAAAATAAAAACAGTAAACCATCTCTCTTTTCGTCAATGGTGAGTCAATTTGGCATAGGGACCTTTTGGTATGAATGGTAACTTTTAAGGTATGTGTAAGCTTTATTTTAAAGGTAGAGCCCTAAGCCTCCAGTGCAAAGGGATGATACATTTGTGTGTTGATATTTATAAGATTTCTTATTTTTTTCTTCATATTTTCTGTTTTGTTTGTTGTGTGAATCATTGGGCTCCTTTTAACTTAAATTAATTTTTCATTATAAAGGAGATCTTTGCAGTGGATGCACATGCTAGTGAAATTGATTTTAAGCGAGTAACTGGTGGAGTTTCTGAAAGTTTGAGAAAATATAGACATAGATTGAAGAATCATTTTGACAAGCATCTTCCATTTGAGAATGCACGCTTGCATCCTTATGTAGGCATTCATATTGATCTTTGGAAAAACTTGTGCGATTGGTGGATGTCACCAGAATTTCAGGTTTGGATTGTTAACCACTTGTTTTAACTATGTATTTGAAATCATTGATTATAATACATTGATTCACTAGCTATATTTAGGTTTGTTAACTTTTATTATTCTTTGAATTACTATGGAAAAAATAAGTGAAAAAAATAAAGCTAACCGTTCGAAGAATGACATTCCACATGTTTCAGGATCGATGTCATTCGTTAGACGTTATGATGGTTATGTACGTAATATAAAACAATAATTATTCAATTTCAATCTATTATCCATCTAAACCATATATTTTCCAATCCTAACTATTACTTTGTGTTGCAGGTAAAAGAAAGTGAAGAAAGGCAGAGTGAAGAGGATGGGGAAGTTGAAAGTCACCAGGAGGGTCCTGCTATTCGCCTGTACAAGGAGACACATTGTAGGGAAGAAACTGGATGGGTACATGAGAAAGCTAAGCGGAACTACGTAAGTTAAAATATGCCTATTATTGATAATTTTACAACTTGTGAAAAAAAAAAAAAAAAAAAAAAGAAGTTTGTTTGAGCATTGTTTTATTAACATACATTAAAGTATAAGCTGTATGATAAACACTACAACAAACTTTTGGTGCAAGCATGTTGATTGTGATATGGTTTCACGGACCTCATTTTCTTCGAATGGTCTCCTTTCTGGTCTTCCATTATATTTAGTTGGGATATACATAATTCTATTTACTTCACCAGCATGTCTCATACTTGGAGAGTTTACCGCAATGCTTAATCTGTCTAGGATCTGCCATTACTTGGTGCAATGGTCCCAGCAAAAGGAAAAAGAAAAACATAAATCACTTTTAGATGAAGTAGCTGGGTTCCACCATATTTTGAGTAGGCCTTACCGGTCTTTTTCCTTTTGGTGGGACCATTGCACCAATTTTTTAGCATTGCAGCAGTACGATTGTACTGCTGCCTATTCTCTTATATGGCACCACTCTTATAATGCATATTCTTTTATTCTTCAAATAGGTCATTTATTGGTCCCATTAGAGCCTTTCTTTAGAGAATTCTACTGTCATCAAATATAAAGGGGTATTACTCTTATGCCATGTTTGGTTGCATGAATCGGTGCATTGGAATTATAATTGAAGAAAATTTAGTTCGAAGTTTAAAGTGCCTTTTTTTTTTTTTTTTTTTTTAATTCCAAATCCATGAAGTCGGTACAGCGTTAGTAAAATTTATAATATTTGATCGTTTCACCCTACTTCTTTACTTCAAATAATGCGAACAATTGGGATATTATTTTCATTACTGGATAAAATAAAGTTAAACAAATAAAATGATAAATTTATCTATATTTATATGCATGTGTAAAATTTTTTTTTTTAAGGGGAAGCTTTCATTCTCTCTCATTTTGAACTTTTTGAAGGTGAATCTGTTTTGGGTTCAAAAAAAATTTAAGTGTTTGCTTTCATTCTCTCTCATTTTGAGCCTTTTTAAGGTGGATCTGTTTTGGGTTTCAAAAATTTCCAGTGTCTCTTTGCAAATATGCACTAAAAAGTTTTCTATTCAGGTTTAGATTTCTTGTAATATGTCTTTTTGTATGTTTGCTTGTATTGGGTTTTGGTCATTACTGTTTTGCTTAATTTTGGCATGAATATATATGTGTGTTGTGTGTGTGTGTGTGTTCATACTCAGATGTGCTTATATCCCAAGAGCAGCTCTTGGAAACAATTTTTTAGCATAGCAGCAGTATGATTGTACTGCTGCCTATTCTCTTATATGGCACCACTCTTATAGTGCATATTCTTTTATTCTTCAAATAGGTCATTTATTGGTCCCATTAGAGCCGTTCTTTAGAGAATTCTACTGTCATCAAATATAAAGGGGAATTACTCTTATGTTATGTTTGGTTGCATGAATTGGTGCATTGGAATTATAATTGAAGAAAATTTAGTTCGAAGTTTAAAATGCTTTTTTTTTTTTTTTTTTTTTTTTTTTAATTCCAATTCCATGAAGTCGTTACAGCGTTAATAAAATTTATAATATTTGATCGTTTCACCCTACTTCTTTACTTCAAATAATGCGAACAATTGGGAAATTATTTTCATTACTGGATAAAATAAAGTCAAACAAATAAAATGATAAATTTATCTATATTTATATGCATGTGTAAAAAAATTTTTTATGGGTAAGCTTTCATTCTCTCTCATTTTGAACTTTTTGAAGGTGAATCTGTTTTGGGTTCAAAAATAATTTAAGGGTTTGCTTTCATTCTCTCTCATTTTGAGCCTTTTCAAGGTGGATCTGTTTTGGGTTTCAAAAATTTCCAATGTCTCTCTGCAAATATGAACTAAAAAGTTTTCTATTCAGGTTTAGATTTCTTGTAATATGTCTTTTTGTATGTTTGCATGTATTGGGTTTTGGTCATTACTGTTTTGCTCAATTTTGGCATGAATATATATGTGTGTTGTGTGTGTGTGTGTGTTGATACTCAGATGTGCTTATATACCAAGAGCAGCTCTTGGAAACAATTTTTTAGCATAGCAGTAGTATGATTGTACTGCTGCCTATTCTCTTATATGGCACCACTCTTATAGTGCATATTCTTTTATTCTTCAAATAGGTCATTTATTGGTCCCATTAGAGCCGTTCTTTAGAGAATTCTACTATCATCAAATATAAACGGGAATTACTCTTATGCTATGTTTGGTTGCATGAATTGGTGCATTGGAATTATAATTGAAAAAAATTTAGTTCGAAGTTTAAAGTGCCTTTCTTTTTCTTTTTCTTTTTTTTTTTAATTCCAATTCCATGAAGTCGGTACAGCGTTAGTAAAATTCATAATATTTGATCATTTCACCCTACTTCTTTACTTCAAATAATGCGAACAATTGGGAAATTATTTTCATTACTGGATAAAATAAAGTTAAACAAATAAAATCATAAATTTATCTATACTTATATACATGTGTAAATTTTTTTTTTTTAAGGGTAAGCTTTCATTCTCTCTCATTTTGAACTTTTTGAAGGTGAGTCTGTTTTGGGTTAAAAAAAAATTTAAGGGTTTGCTTTCATTCTCTCTCATTTTGAGCCTTTTCAAGGTGGATCTGTTTTGGGTTTCAAAAATTTCCAGTGTCTCTCTGCAAATATGCACTAAAAAGTTTTCTATTCAGGTTTAGATTTCTTGAAATATGTCTTTTTGTATGTTTGCATGTATTGGGTTTTGGTCATTACTGTTTTGCTCAATTTTGGCATGAATATATATGTGTGTTGTGTGTGTGTGTGTGTTCATACTCAGATGTGCTTATATCCCAAGAGCAGCTCTTAGTGTTTCCATCTGCTTTTCCTTCCGAGCAGCAATCTGATGGGTTTGTGTATGGATAAAATAGTTCTCTTCTTTTTTATTTTGTGCCTGTTATGTCTATAGATAGATGACATGTAGTGTTGTTATGTTGTTAGAAATTTTGAATTTGTATGGAACTTGTTATATTTTTGAATGATTAGTTATAAAAATTTTGTTTTAGTCCTTCCAGCCTTGATTTTATTAATGCGATCAGTTTAGCCTTTACTATTTTTCTAGTACAAGTCTTTCTCTCCTTAATTTGTATCTCAATTGTCAATTCTCAATTATAAGACTTATATGTCAATTGCAGGATGAAATGATGGATAAGCCTTCCCAAATTTGTCAAAATTCTGATAGTACCAGTCCAGTGAGAAATGATGTTGAGATAGTGCAAAACTAACTAGGTATCAGGAAAGGATATCCCTGTGGGTTCGGACATGGTTTCGTGATTCCAAGCCGTCAACGTGCATTCTCATCTTATGAAGAGGCTTCTCGTAAAAGTGCAGAAATTGCTGAGGAAAATAATGCACAACTGAAGGAGGAAGTAAAAGGTTTGCGGGAATATATGGAAAGAATTGAGAAGATGTTTCAACAGCAGCAGCAGTAGCAGCCGCCGCCATGGTGGCAATATCAGCAATCCTCATCAGATTCCCAACAAGAAGCAGCCCCGCCAAGCGGGTATGAGCATCCATCACCCCCAGACTCTCACCTTCAACAGTCGCCACCACTATGATGGCAATATCAGCAGCCGCCGCCACCATGGAGGCGATATCATAACCACCTGCAATACCCCTAATTTTAAATAGGATAGTTCTGGAATTTATTTAAATGTTTAATTGTGTTTTTAGTTTATTTAGTTGGTTATTTGTAGTTGTTGTGTTTGTTTGTTTATTTAAATTGTTATTTAGTTGAATTTTTGTTTTGCTTTAATTGCTTAAATTGATTATTTGTTTTATTTTAAATTGTTTTATTTTAAATTGATTGTTTATGTTAGTTAGTATTTATTTGAATTAAGTTAAATGTTTTATTTATTAAATTAGGGTTTTATCAGTTTAGGGAAACCACGTATTTAGCCGACTTATTTTTTTTTCTGTCTAGTAATAGGATTAGGGTTTAATTGCACCTAGGTTTAGTTAGCCTATATATATATCTGTATAAGACTGCCAAGGGTTTAGAACCCTAACCACACGTATTGGAGGCAGAGGTATCAGGGGAGTTAGGAGAAGGTAGTTCGCTGGAAAACTTAGAAGAAAGACGTTGAGATTTTTGAACCGAATCTCACAGGCAAGTTTTATTACTAACTCTATCTCTTTGGCCTGTGTTCTTTGCATCTCTAATTCAGTTCCAGGAAGAAATAAAGCTAAATTAATTTGGTTGTAATTATTTGTTTCAAACAGTATGGGTTCTTGTATGTATTTTCCGTTCGTGATGCAACTGTTTGTGCTTGTTCTTGTTTTAATTGAATTTGATTAACAAGTAATGAACTTAAATAACTTTAGAGCACTTTGGGACTTAGTTTTAATCCATAGGAAACTTGGGTTGGAGGAAAAAAGTTGCCAAAGTTGGAGAAGAAGTTGAACAGCATGTTTCCTTGTAGGTGCATGTTAACCGTTTTTAAATTATTTTGTTTAATTCTTGTTTCCACTGAATGTGATTATTAATCAAGGAAGTTAATTAACTTTTGAACACCCAAGGACTTAATTTAAATCAGCAAGAAATTTAGTTTGGAGGACCAACACAGCCGAACACAGTCGGAATTAGAAAAACGACGCACAGGGGAAGGAGCCTGCTCTATTTCAAGTAGAGCAGGCTCAATTAAAAAGTGGAGCAGGCTCTACTTTGTGGTAGAGCCGGCTCTACTTGGTAGTGGAGGCGGCTCCACTTTGGGTGGAGCCGGCTCCTTTGTGGGTTTTCATTTTTTTTGGTTTTCTGCGAGACTGCTAGCTACTGTGCTTGGGTTAATGGGTTTCCAGGGGCAACTGAGAGTTTAATTAGAGGTTCTCAGTGATGTTTAAATTCTACTAAAACCTCAGAAGGCATGAAAATACATATTATACCATAGAAGGTTAGTAGAATGGACGTTATGAAACTGTTAAGAAAGTTTACATGGTTGCCTTGTGCGGATGATTCAAGTTGTTTAATTTTAATTTAGCAATTGAATTAGGAGTTTGATATGTAAATCATATATCAGTGGTATGGGATTAAGCCTATTAACTAATAAAAATTCAGTTGATACTTAATACGAAACCAGTTGACGTTACCAAGAATTTATTTATGTCAACTTATGGGATGTTGTGGAATAATTACAAGTAAGCATGTATATACTATTGTTATTATTATTATGCTTATGGTGAGTTACAGGATGGTTATATTTCTTCTCTGCATTTAAAAATTTGTCAGAGAATCAGGTACTAGATGTATGGAACAAGCATGCTAATTAAACATTCTTGTTATGCTTATGATTTGATATGTTGATATTGATATGTTATGCTATCATATATATATATTATCAATACTAGATGGATGGTTTGTATGCACCGGTATGAGACGGTGTCATACTAGGGGGATTAGCTCAAAAATGCTAAGTCCTACCTACTCTGGATTAAGGGATGGATTAACTACAAAAGTTAAGTCCTACCTGTCTTCTGTGTCAAATCAATAAATAATTGAGCGACACTTTGGTTTGGAACGGAATTTAAATATATTTTTATGATGCCACGATATAAGCCTGAGTCTCAGAGTCATTGGTTAGGGAGTGTATATGCATTAGGATGCATAGCTGGCTATGATGGTTGGATGTGTACCCTGCTAGGACTACGTAGTCATGCCCACCTTTGGGTGCGTTTTCGCATGGTGCCTACTAGTCAGGTTGAGACAGGCCTGTAGTCCAGTAAGAGTCCTGCAGTGTGATTATATATATATATATTTATCTACGGACTATTAGCTATTGTTGGATTGGTTAGGATGTACATGCGTATCGGGTCTCTGCTTGGGTAGTAGTAGTATAAAACTTGCATGTGGGCCTAACCCACTCATCATTTTTCAGGTATCGGACATTTCCAGTCTAGAGCTTGTTCGTGCTGAGCAGAGACGATCTTCCATTCTACCAACGACGTAGGACTTTTTTTCCAAATATTAGATTTGGATTTTATTTTCAGTTTTACTTTCATTTAGTTTGGGATTTTTATTAGGGGTCCACTAGAGATGGATTCCCGAGTTGTTAAACTGATGGAGTTTTGGATTTTACTTTTAGTTTCTTCCAGCTTAAACTTTATTTATTAAATTTATTTTGTCATCTGTGTTCGATTAAATATTAATTGTTTGATATCCTTCGGATCTGTGCTCGGACTTGATCACCCGTGGCTCTAGAATCGAGGGGTATCACACTACCCACGAGCACCACCACCATCACCACCACCACAACCATAACCACAACTACAACCACAAATCGAATGACGAATATGATGGCCGGAGCTAAATATTTTGGTACAAAATTATGAAGCTTTCTTATGACTTGTTGATATCTAGCCCTTTTTGTCTTTTAACTATAGCTTTCTTATGACTAGTTGATATCTAGCTTTTTTTGTGTTTCAACTACAGATTCTATTGGGCATTTAAAACTAATGATGCTTTGATTTTTGAACATATATGTTAGAAGATGTTTAAAGTTTATTTTTATATTCTATATGTCATATGCTTTTGATATCATCTATGGTGCATGATTTGAGTTTTCAGTTAAGAGTTTTGAGTTTTTCTTATAAAGAACTTGAGAAGAAAAAAAACATACAAACGTCAAACATAGCTGGGGAACATACAAACGAATCAAAATTAGCTACACCCCCACCAAAAAAAAAAAAAATTGGAGTAATAGGGACGGTTTCTAGTTGTCACCATTGTTAAAAAATAAAATAAAAAACTTGTTATTAGGGACGGAAAATACTGTCACGAATAGTTTATGTATTAGTGACAGTCCAAAATTGTCCCTAATATATAACTTATTGGTGACGGTACATTCTGTCCCTAATAACTTTTCGTGACGGGATTATTTGGGACAATAAATATTGTCACTAAAGACCCTTATTTTTTGGGACGGGATTATTTGGGACAGTAAATACTGTCACTAAAGACCCTTATTTTTTGTGATGGTATTTTCCGTCCCTAATAACTTTTAATGACGGTATTATTTGGGACAATAAATACCGTCACTAAAGACCATTACTTTTTGGTGACGGTACTTTCCGTCCCTAATAACTTTTACTGACGGGATTATTTAGGACAGTAAATACCGTCACTAAAGAGCCTTATTTTTTGTCACAGTTATTTTTTACCGTCACTAAAAATCTTTTGCGACGCTCTAACTAGTGACGGACGATTTTGATTTTTAGTGACGGTTTTAGGGCTTTTAGTGACGGATTTGACTGTCACTGAAGACCTATTTTCTTGTAGTGCATGTCGCTTAGAAGATCACCTTCAGAGTTAGGAGGATATGCTGGTTGCCCTTAAAGCTGACCTTGCTACCCTTCATTTAAATATGATGGCTGCAATTAGAGCTGACGTTGCTTGCTTCCGTACAGAGATCTTGACTGCTGTTGATGACTTAGCCAGGGAGATCCACGGAGTTCACTCTACTCGTCCTGCCCCCTCTGCCTGAGACTTCTAGTCTCTCTATCTTTTTATGCTCTCTATATATGTTGTGTGTCTGCTACACTTGTGATATTATTATTTTTGCAGCCAGGTCTGTCGGCTTTGACATTGGATGTATTGCACTTTATTTTTATTTTTTATCTATGATGGATGTCGTATGCTTTTATTGATACATCTATCCTTTTAACTCCATCAGGTGCATCACAGTGACTTCAGTAAGAGAGTGTTACCTAATTTTCAGGACCACCCTTTTACCTCTCTCATTTTTCTATTTCTTTATTCCATCTACACTTGCATGTCCTCTGTGCACTGATTACCCCATTTTGTTATCTGATGAATTTATCCAAGTGCCAAATTTTAGGACCACAGTTCATCCCAAGTTTGGGGGGGCCATGCCACCCACTTCGGATAATTCAGACCCGATCATTCTATGCTTTAGTTGCACTGGTATACTCTTTCCTTTGTTCTCTTGCACATTGAGGACATTGTGCCATTGAAGTTTGGGGAGATTATGTTTTGCAGTGTTAGCTTTAAATTTAAATTTTTAGCATGACTTGTGTATTTGAGAGATATTTTTATGATTGGTCCATATCTAGCAATGATTTTGATCTTTTGAGGACTATATTGCTTAAAATTTAAAAATTGCTTGACTTGAGAGTCCAATACTCCTTGTATGCCTTGTGGAAGCCATTTAAAAGTAATTTTTTCGAATGATCGACATCTTGCTTACACTTGTGGTCCACATCATCCTGATTTTGTGATTGTTTTGAGATTTATTCTAGGATTCTACACTAGCACAGGCGCACACTAGCATTCATTTGTGGGGTACATACTTTGTTGATTATTGAATTGGTTATATCCCAATTGGGCAAGTAGTGCATTGAAAGCTTTCATTCTTGATAAAGGTGGATAACAACCCCTGGATAACAACCCCTTTTCACTAAGTAGCTGGGATTCTTGCCTTATTAAATATTGAACTTCTCGCGCCGAAAGGTGGAAGGCCCAAACTCTAGGTTAATAATTGATTGAAAAATAAATAAATAAATAAATAAAAGTGAGGACTTCTCCCAAAAAGGTGAGAAGTGGGAAATGATTAGATGGAGGTTGTCTTGATTTGTAGCCTAATTGATTTGAGCTTGTAAGTCCGTAGGGGTGTTTGAACACCTAATGCCCTAAAGCCGTCTGGTTTGGGAGTCATTAACCTAACGCTCGACCTCATGAATCGC